TATGTCCTTCTTCAATTCATTCCAGTTGGTTTAATTTTCCTAAGGCAGAACTTTGATCTGTAAATTACCTTGCTCAACCACTCTCAATATTTCACATTTATTGGAAAATAGTGTCAGAGTACATTTTCTTGGCAATAGTCTCTATAACCAAGACTCCCCTTACTTTTCTAGTCTTACTTCTCACTAACTTGCTTAACAAACCCTATGGCCCGGCCACATTTGATACTTGCTGTTTTCCCTCTGCACTTTACAACTCTTATCTTTGCTCAATGCTTATTTATCTTTTGCCTTGAATTGTGTTTCTCTCTTCATAGAATGTTTCCCATCCTTAAATGCGTAACTCAAATACCATCTATACATTAAGCCTTATTTGATATTCTTAAATGAATTTGTCTCGCTCTCCTTTGTGGATTGAACTGTGTTATGGACTGAATTGTGTCCCCCAAAAAGATAAGTTGAAGTGCTGATGCCTGGTACCTGTGAGTGTGATCTTGTTTGGAAAGAGGGTCTTTGAAGATGTTATCAGTTAGGTAAATGTGTGGTCATCCTAGAGTAGGTTGGGTCCTAATTCTGTGTGAATGAAGTCCTTATAAAAGAGGGGAAGATACACAGAGACAGACAGAGGAAGGACACCATGTGGCACTGCAGCTACAAGCCAAGAAATGCTTGGAACTACCAGGAACTAGGAGAGAGACATGAAAAAGTTTCCCGCTCAGAGCCCTCAGAAGGAATCAATACAGTCAATAACCTGCTTCTAGCCTGCAGAACTGTAAGACAAAACATTTCTGTTCTTATAAGCAACCCAAAGTGTGGCATTTTCTTTCTGCAACCCTAGGAGACTAATACATGCTTCTAGAGCCCACTGTGGCCATCTTAAAATAATCATCATCGTCTGTCCTGTTTACGTGTACATGAATGACCTCCTTAACTATATTCTAAACTGCTTGAGGGCAGTCTTTGTATCTTACAACTTAGCTAACGGGCTTATTTGTGAAGGTACAGAGTACTTCTTCTGAAGGATATCATTGTGAGTTGGAACAGCAGAGATCGTTTCATGAAGGAGGATAGCCTTTGAGTTTGGGCAGAATAGAATTTGCAGAAACTTTCCGCGACCAAATCCTGCAGTCCATACAAGTAGAAGAGTTTAAAAAGGTATAGGATGGTCAAGCGGAAAGAGCACTATGTCAGGAGTCAGGAGACCTGAGTTCTAGTCACAATTCCACCTCTAAGTTATGAGGCCGCAATCAGAATTTTGATGGATCCCAGTTGCTAGTTTATAAAATTAAGATAAGTTTCAATGACTTCTATCATCTCTTCTAGCTCTAAAATTCTATGCCTATAAAGAAATAATGGGCTAGTCTGTGTTTTTGAGCAATTAGTGGCATATAAAAGCTGTACTTAAAGAAGATAGGAAAAAGATCAAAGAGGATAAAAAAGCATTATAAATATAAAAATTTTCAGCTTTTTTATATAACTAAAATAGTTAATAATTTAAGCAGAGATCTGTAATCATATAAATAAAGTGCCACATGTTAGTGTGTGTGTGTGTGTGTGTGTGTGCATCCTCATTTTTGTCAGTCTGGCATTTACTGTTTGAATGTTGAAAATCCTTTATATAGAACCGTAATAGTCTGAAGGAGTCACAACAGTTATGCAGACCCACACTAAAGGCATCCAAGACAAATGAGATTCTTTGATTTTAAATGCCTCAAGGCAAATGGCACAGTCTTTTCCTGACTCAAATAGATCCAATTACCTCTAATGACCCAGTTAGAATTTATTGAGTATCTGTGATCCAGGTACTTTTTCTGGAGTCTGAAGTCAAGTTTTGCATTTGTGTTGCAATAGGTTTTCTTTTATAAGGCTTTTCTGGCCTTGGTTTGTAATTCTACAAAAACAATTGGTTGGCCGCAATTTGCTAAAGGAGTGGTGTGTTTGCGATTCGCCTAAGTGGTTTGCAAGGGATTGGTCCATTTACTATCTGGGTAAATGGCTTGCAAGGGATTGGGCACTTAGTTATCCACTTTTACATGGATTGGCTGGGGAGGTGTCCCTCACAGTGGTCTACCTTTACTGGGATTGGCTGAGGGGCCTTAGCCAGTCTGACCCTTACCCAGATTGGCTAGATAAGCCCTGCCCTGTCTGACCTTCACTAGGATTGGCTGGCGGGGTGGGTTGCTCCTAGTGACTAATAACTCTAGAACACAGAGGCTCAGATGGGGCTTCCTGATCAACCAGAGCCAGGAGAGAAGGAGGAGTGTGTTCTTTAGACAACAGGCCCTACCCTGAGAACCTCCTATAAGAGTTATAGATCAAGGGCTTTAACACGGAGCTACTAACACTCACTGAGCTGATAACAGTGAAGATGGAGAGAAACGGTGGCAAGCAGAGCAGAACTGAGTGGCAGAGAAATGGCAGCAGTCGAGTGAGTGGCAGGAACCATGAGACCGGCAGAGGGTAGTAGGCAGACTCGGCCAGTGGAGCGGAGCTGGGCACCTCCGGGTAGGAGGTTGCCGACGGAGCAGAGACTTAAGCATACACTGTACAGGGGTTGCCCCCGTAAAACGGTTTTTGTCTCAAAAGCTGTCATGATGCCTGCCTAATGCTGGCACTGGCCCAGGGTTGTTCCAAAGCTGCTGGTTGAAAGCTGGACCAGCAAGCATGGGAGACCAAACCTAGACAAGAAAAGCTGGGGGGCGGGGGGAGGGGGGAGGGGAGAGAACACAGCCCTGCCTTATTCAACCTAATCTGACGACATACCTGCTGAGAGGGAGAGAGAGAGATACCTGCTAACATGTGGTCCACGGCGTGGTGACATAGAAATGCTCATGGGTAATTTGGGAACGGTGATCAGGTCCCCTTTTAGACATAAATGGATCCGTCCACTATGATGCTAAGTGGATGCTCACAGGGGTGGTGGTGGCCAGTTCACTTCAAATTTGTTCCTGTTGTTTATAGTTTGCTTTGTATAAGTAATCTATTCGTATTGTTTACTGTTTATCTATTATTATTTATAAATAATAATAACAGCTTTCAATTGCCAACACTGTGTCACTGTCTTGTGTTTACGTCCCAATCAGATCAGAAAGTGGAGTCCTTATCCTAGCAGTCTCATGATTGCTTGGGATTTAGTGGTACAACCTGTGTATATGGACATGCACGTGCACACAGTTCAGAATTATTTTGTAAAAATTCCTGGACAGAATGATTAAAAATTACCAAGAACATTTACTGAACACCTACTGTGTGAAAGAGAATGTGCTAGGCCCCACAGCGAATACAAAAATGAGTAAGACAGTCTCTGATCTCAGGGAGCTTACACTTTGCTAGGATACAACAAACTTGCAAAATAGACTGAGTTACTGGAGTGTGGGCATATGCTCCTAACACACGGCAGATACTAAATAAATAATTGTCGAAGAATCAAATAACACAGAAGTTAGACTGTTCCACATGCCACCAGAGAGATATAAAAAGCAATGGAAATTCAATGTCTTAGGATTATCAGAAACAGTTTGTGAGGAAAGTAGAATCTGAGTTGGGCCTTGGTTAAGTTCTTGGTAGCAGCCAATGTTGGAAGGTCAGGAGGATTATGGATAACAGGAGAAAAAATTCCTTATAGAGGGAACAACCAGAATAAATAAAAATGGGAGGATAGCCTAGGACTAATTTTGGGATAATCAGGGAATGGACTAATTTGGCTAGAGGGTAGGTGAGGAATGAACATTGTAGTTAGAAAGGTAAATGGCTGAAAAGTGCCTCATTCTGAAGGTGATTTGGAGTCATTGAGGATTTCTAAGTAGGGAAGTACTATGTAAGATCTTTCTTTCTCTTTTAGCCGTTGCATTTTGATATGACTTGGGGTGATTTTTCAGTAACATCTTCAATGCTTAGAAATCCATGCACTAAAGACACACACCAAAAAAAAAAAAAAAACATTTATGAGCCTTTTCATTTCTTGCCACTCTGGGCAGCAATGTCAAGAATCAAATGGATTGTTTATTGAAGTTCTCATTCAGCCCTAGAGGGGGTTACTCAGGAAAGTAGTGGCCCATGGTGATGGGGCTGAAATCGTGTTATGGACTTCACATTCCAGGGTATTTGAGTTTCTATTGACATTAGATTTACTGTCATTAAAAAAAAAGCAGTCCCATGTAACAAATTTTACAGTAGGGCATCATATAAATAATATTAGAAAAGTATTTTTCCTTAACATTTTCTGTTGCTGGCTGAACTTACCCTAAAGTTTTGCCAGGAAAAATGTTATTTCCACTCAGCAAGAAGGAAAGGTACATTTTCCAAACAATGTCATTATTAAATAATTTAATTTTTTAAATAATCCTGTATGTTTTCATATTCATTTGGTTTCTTGTAGGGGATATAATCTGAATTTGCTCATATGTTAACAGTCCAACTACAAGTTAAACATGTGCTTAACCTAAACTCAGTATAAACTGGCATAAATTTTCACTAAAATTTCAACTTTAATTTCTTCTTACAAGGGGGTATTTTACCTTCTTAAGTTTATTCTCTGAAGTGTAAAAATGTATTTATGAAATGTAATGAATTTCTATTGTAAAATATTGTGGAAATATTATAGAATATTATTGTTCCCAATCTTTCTACTCTTTCCCTGTTACATAATTATATACCTAAGCCCCTTACCAAGAAACTTTATATTATCTACTACTTGGGTAGGCAGGCCCTGGTAGTGTAGCGGTTAAGAGCTCGCTGCTAACAAAGGTCGGCAGTTCAAATCCACCAGCCACTCTTTGGAAACCCTATGGGACAGTTCTGCTATGTCCTATAGGGTCGCTATGAGTTGGAACTGACTTGACGGCAATGGGTTAGGGGAGGTAGAGTACATTTTTCCACTATACTGATGCTTGAGGTGGACATGTGACCTACTTTAGCCAATGGGATGTGAGCATTCATAACATAACATAAATCATGGCTTTAAATGTGTCAGCTTGGACTCTTGGATTTTTGCTGTCCACTAGGAAAAGAATATGCCACTCTGGTTGCCGAATGATGAAGATCCATGAAGCAGATCTGTAACCATCCCAAAACCTGAAGTCCAGTCTAGTCTCCTGAAGAGTCCAGCTGAGATTGGCAGCTCTGTAGACAACCTACAGATTAATGAGTAAGAAGAAAATAAATATTTGCAAGTCACTGATATTTGGGGTGCTGCTTAATATGCAGCATAATTATAGCTGTCATTGCCTAATACATATAATATTTTATAATAATTCTGTAACTATAAGTTTCCTAAGTAATGGTAAGAAATAAATTGAATAAAGATTTAAGATATGGGATTTATTACAATAAATTAAATCTTAAGTTAATATCCTCAATATAAATATATCTCAGTAATGGTGATGAGATTTGTGTAACTAAAAATACAGTCTTGTCTGGAAACCAGGCAATTTTAGCCTAATGAAGCCCATAAGAAAATTCAAACTGAAAAGATCGTTATATATTTTTTTATGCAGGAAAACTGTAAATTATTTGAAAGTTTCTACCCCTCAAACTAACATTTTAAAATTTCCCATTGTTATCTTGAAACAGCTTTGAAAATAGATGATCTATTTAAATAATTCATCATTTGCACATTGTAATCTCTTTATAATTTTGGTATTGGGGCCATGATGCAGGACATAAACTAACTTTGTTTTACTGGGACTTGCTTAGAATAAGTGACCAAAAGATTTAAACATATACAAAAGTTTTGTAACTTCAAAACTCTATACAAACTCTTGGCAGGAAAAAGTTCCAATGTAGTGTAATGATATGCTTAGGAATCACAGTCTCGATTGAATAAATTCTTCAATTTTAATGGATGGCCTACACTATTCAAATAGGCTGATTTAAATTTTTTTTAGCATGAGTATATATAAAAAAGTTGTGTAATTATAGAGTGAATATTTCCATTTAAGATGTCAGAGACATCTTGTCAAAAGCCAAGAACTATGAGTAAAATGGATGAAAATACTTTTCTTCATAAACAAGTTGACCTATTTTATTTGTCCCACTTTTTAAAAAAAAGCAATTTCTTTTATAGGTGAGATAGCAAACGCTGAACAATTAACTTCATAACATATTCTTTCACAATAAGATGAGAAGAATAAGGGGTACTAAGACCATTCTTTTCAATGAGACTAAAACCCTTTTCTACATATGTGTCTGTCAATCGAGTAATAGACTAATCAAGTAGACTTTTTTATTGTTATGCATCTCATATTCAAATTTCGGTTTGAGGAAGAAAATCGTTCTGCAAATATTTTGAATAGGTTCTTGGTGAAAGATTATATTTGTTTAAGATTTTCACATTGAAATTTAGGTATGAGATAGAATTGATTTAATAAAGATTTTCAGTTATCTGATTATCCTTGGATAGAAAAGAAAATAATTATAGCAAGAAATGTCACTTTTTAGAACATGTATTTTTCTCTTGGATTTTGAACATGATAGGGGCTTTGGTTTTCCTTTTGAAAGAAACATAATAAACTATGTCTGCCTGTCATCCTATAGGGTCACCATGAGTTGGAATTAACTCAATAGCAATGGGTTTGGTTTTTTTGGTTTTGGTCTGTCATCCAACTAAGCACAGATATTTATTTAACTTTATAATTAATTATATATTAAAAAAATATTAAAACTTCCAGCCCTTAAAACAACATAATTAGGGACAAAGAAGGCAAACTCAACTAATGATCCTAGAGCTGAAAAATAGAAGGCGTCCTAAAAATTAAATGAACTCTTGCTTTGCATGTCAGTGAAAACCTTTTGTTGTTTTCTGGCAGGTATCTGGATAGACAGAAGCTTTCCCATGTATTGACAGAACTGCAGAAAGCCCAATTAGTTCCTCAGCCTTAGCAACGTCTGTTCTTTTCTGAGCAGTAATTCCAAACAATTCTGAAACAAGCAAAAAGTTATTCACATTATAAAAATTTTAGGAATACTTTAGCTTAGTTTTATTTTGGGATTTGTAAAGCAGACAAAGACAATGTCTATAGTACATTAGGCCTGGCACTTTACACACATTAAAAAGATCAATAGCAAGGTAATGGAGAGGAACTGCACATACAGAAAGTCAAAGAGTAAAGCAGATGAGAAAGAAAATATTAAAATTGTATCAATGTGTGTACATTTTAGATTGTATTTAAATTTAACGTTTAATTTATATGGTACCTGAATTGTGCCCTATTGTTTCAAGTATGATAATCATCTCCTCAACTATGTTATAGGCTCCTTGAAGCAGGGTGTGTTTTATAAACGACAAAAACCGAACCCAGTTGCTGTTGTTTCCAATTCATGGCGTCTCCACGTGTGTCAGAACAGGACTGCTCCGTAGGGTTTTCAGTGGCTGATTTTTCAGAAGTAGATGGCCAGGCCTTGCTTCCAAGGCACCTTTGGGTGGACCCTGTCTTAGTCATCTAGTGCTGCTCTAACTGAAATACCACAAGTGGATGGCTTTAACAAAGGGAAGTTTATTCTCTCAGTCCAGCAGGCTACAAGTTCAAATTCAGGGCATCAGCTCCAGGAGAAGGCTCTGTCTCTCTCTGTCGATTCTGGAGAAAGGTCCTTGCGATGCATCACTATTTCCTTGGTCTGGGAGCTTCTCTGCACAGGAACCTCAGGTCCAAAGGACACGCTCTGCTCCCGGCACTGCTTTCTGGGTGGTATGAGGTTCCCATGTGTCTCTGCTCACTTCTTTCTTTTCTATCTCAGAAGAGATTGGATGAAGACACTATCTAATCTTGTAAAACCTCATCAGTATAACCTCATCACAGTGATAGAATTTACAACACATAAAGAAATCACATCAGATTACACAATCATACAATACTGGGAATCATGACCCAGCCAAGCTGACAGATATTTTTGGGGGACACAATTCAATCCATGACAGACCCCAACTGACAATCTTTTGGTTAAAACAGTCGAGGGTGTTAACCATTTGCACCAGCCAAGGATTTCCTGTATTTTATAGTCCTTCTGTATTCCTCAGTACAGAGCCTAGCAGAATACTAAACACTCGATAAATAATTATTGATTAATTGATTAAGATCATAACTCAAATTCGATAGGACAATGCAATGTTAGAATGTTTGTTGTTGATGACACAGCCTTTAGGGATCAAATTGAGGTGACAGGGAAATAGCTGTAGGTTACTTCAGCACTGCTGTTGTGTTCCTAATTTTAAGGTTGCAATGCTTGCTATTAACTGAAATTTGTAAGGCAATTTTTACTGCCATTAAAAAAAAGTCCCCTCTATTTAAGTGCATTCTGTGTACTTCTCTTTATTGTCTTCTCTTTTTCCTTGATTTTGTGCAAAAACAGAAAGATGCATTCTTAAGAATTGCTTTCTTTACTTTCACATTCACATTTTGACCTGATAAACTGAGAAGACTGTCTTTTTGACAAGTGTTTTAACCCCATTCTCCAGCTAAAGTTTGAGAAGAAAGACACTATTGAAATGCAATAGAGAATTATGAGAATAGCAGCCTTCTCTGTTCTATCCCACATAGGAAGAAAAGTCCAAGAAAGTCATAATGGGACCAGTTTGCATTACTCCATGACATTTCAAAAGTTAAAGGAGAGAAGTGACACATAGGACGTCACCTCTCTCAGGTCCAGGTCTTTTCACAAAGTTCTGAACAGGGTTACGGTTGTGGAAGGGACATCTTCCTTTTATGGACCACATTGTATTCCTAGGAGAATTCCTAGTGGGCTGTTGATTTTGAAGTTCTGTGCATTTAATGCCCACAGCTCTGTCTTCGACGTAGGTATTTAAGTCTGGCTGTGACCCAGTCTATATCTGATTACTTCACTGGAATTGGGTAGGTATTGGAGTCCAGCTATCCTCCTTACAGGGCCCGTGATGGTAGGTGTAATGCTCTGATGAGACAAAGAAGGTGACTTAGGCTATGCTTTCTAGGTTCTGAATTAGTTGTCCACAACCTTGTGATAATACAAAAATCATTATAAGAGTAATGAGCTTTACAAAACAGTATCTGGGAGTATCACTGGAGAAGGGTATCATTCGTGATTGTGTTGCTGGTTATATTTGGCTCTATATTCAGGGATTATTGCTTCCAGAAAACTACTGCTAACAGTCCCTGTACAAAGAGTTTCTGTGTCACTAAACATTGAAAAGCTGCCACTATTTCAATGCATAGTAAGTGGCATGTTAACTAACATTCTCGTTTATATGTGAATTCCACGTGGCTTATTTTTGCCTCATTGGACATAGGTCAGTGAAAAGTGAGCATGATTAGCACTTGGGAGCTTTGTACCCTTTATGTCTTTAAGCTCAATGAATCACTCTAACATCCACGTTGACATGACTATTTATATTGTCTAATAAGGAATGTAATTTCACAACACCACGTTTGCAACATGGCCATAACATTGTAATTTAGCATGCATTTTGTTTATGTGCTTTGTATCCCAGTAAAGTCTCATCTTTGCAGCCCAGTGGCGTATGTTACCAGGCTAGAGTGAACCTCTTAAACAAGAAGGTAAAATTAAAAAGCAAGGACTAAAATTACTGTGTAACATCCGCTATTGGTTACCTGCTGACAGCTAGTTCCCTCTTCTTTTTTCCTAACAGAACCCTGATTTTGATGAAGTTTGGAGGCAGCATGCTCAGGTAAGGTGAGCCCCATTCCCGCTCTACAGTATGAAACATGAAGCATATAGGTCAATAAGGATCAGGTCATTCCAGTTTCACTAAGGAGTCATTTGGAGTTTGTATGTGACCAAGTTCTGGCCAATGGGAACTGAGAAATCTGTTGGGGGTCTCCAGGGAAAGGTTTCTTCCTGGTAAAAGACATATGCACTAGGGGAAAATGTTTCAGCCACCTTTCCTTTCCTGCCTTTGGATGTTGTCATGAGGACTTAATGCATAAAGTTGCTGCAGCCGAGGAGGTGGGGATGAGGGAGATTGATGGCATGTATAGCATGTCAGAGCAGAAGGATAGAGCTTGGGTACCTGAAGGCATTGTTAGGCTGCTGAGCCAATTCTTAGATCTGTTTCTCTCTGGACTTCTTGCTGAATGTCATAATAAATGTCATTATTGTTTAAGCCACATATAGTAGGGCCTTCTGTTACTTACAGACAAAAGCATTCCAACTGATAAAAGAAGTTAAAAGAATGCAGTTCACACCAGTGTGGTTGCTTCCCTAACAAGCAAAGGCGAGACAAAGAAAAGAAAGGGCATTACTGGCTTACTAATGAGGTTTTTGTAGATCTGGTAGTTCAGAGCTTGAAATGCATTTTTCCCTTAGAAATACTATAAATGGTATCCAGGTTCCCCCAGGTTAGCCCATGAAGCCTGTTTAGTCCAATAATGATGCAAAATCTGTACAGTCTAGTAGAACTGAATCACCTTGAAAAACAATGTTTCCTTTGGAACAAAAATGAATTCAGAAAAAAAAAATAATTTAGAGATCCAACTTAGCAAAATAGAATATCATCACCTCAATGGCAATAAAATTGAGGATTTCCCTTCTCTCAAGGACTGGGCAGGGAGAACAGTTATTTATCCACATCCCAAAAGGCAATGGTTATACCTGTTCAGCCAGAGAGGCCAAAGGCTAGGCAGTGATACAGAAGCAGGAGAGAGGCTTGGCAAAAGGGAGGTTTACATGTTTTCTACCCCTTCCCCTCCATCTCCAAGAGTTTGCCTAAATGCTTCAATTTCTATAGCACTATCTGTTGTTTCCATGAAGGAGCAATGGTAGTCGAGTGGTAGAATAATTGCTCTCCACGTGGAGACTTGAGTTAAATTCCCAGCCAGTGCAGCTCATGTGCAGCCACCATCTGTCTGTCAGTGGAAGCTTGCGTGTTGCTATGATGCTGAACAGGTTTCAGCAGAGCATCCAGAATAAGATGGAGTAGGAAGAAAGGCCTGGCAACCTCCTTCCAAAAATCAGCCAGTGAAAATCCTGTGGATCACAACAATCTGATCCACAACTGATTGTGGTGATGGCTCAGGATGAGGCAGTGTTTCGTTCCATTGTGCATGGGGCTGCCATGAGTTGGTGGTGGACTTGATAGCAGCGAACAACAGCCTGCTGTTTCTAATAAAACAATTATCTTCCTCTCCTTTCCCTGAAGCATTCATCATAACACATTGTGGCAGTGCTATGTTAGTGTAGCTGCTTACCTGGCTTTGTCCACTTTGGATACCAGGTCCTTGAAGCTAATAATCAGATACTGGCTACCACTTAAGATATTTATATATAAAAATAGCTAGGGAGTGGTATGTATCTTGAGATGAAGTGGCAAGGCATTCAATATTAAATTAATCTGTGCTTTGTTCTTCTCACCATGGGAACCTGCAACATAGAAGTCTTATTGATCACTTTTCCCTAAAACTCAAGAAGATTGCAAAATTTTCTGTTCTAAGTTTTGATCTCTGTCTTATGGGGTTCTTGACCACTTTTATGTGCCAAGGCCAAATGCTGAAGTGGTTAGAACCCCAAAAGTCAATTCCCACTCCAGCTTTCGTTGATTTGTTTGTTCTTTAAGCCAAAGTATGTGCAGGTGTAAGGTGACAGACTTGAGAGGAGAGAGGCTTTCCAGGAGTTTTTTCAGAAGTTTAGGATGTGAAGGACTATATGGGGATGTTTTCATTGAATGACGGAGATGAGGCCTGTTACCACTCTGAGCCCTTTAGTGTATCAAAGTCTATGACAGGGTGATACAGGGATGGGATTTTGGAGAGAAAGATTAATTCTTGCTATGTTGTTGTTAGGTGTTGTCGAGTTGGTTCTGACTCATAGCGACCCTATGTACAACAGAACAAAACACTGCCCATGCTCACAATCCTGCACCATCCTCACAATCGTTGTTACGCTTGAGCCCATTGTTGTAGCCACTGTGTCAATCCATCTCGTTGAGGGTCTTCCCCTTTTTTGCTGACCCTATGCTTTACCAAGCATGATGTCCTTCTCCAGGGATTGATCCCTCCTGATAACATGTCAAAAGTATGTGAAACAAAGTCTTTCCATCTTTGCTTCTAATGAGCACTCTGGCTGTACTTTCTTCCAAGACAGATTTGCTGGTTCTTCTGACAGTCCATGGTGTATTCAATATTCTTTACCAACACTGTAATTCAAACTTATTGATTCTTCTTCAGTCTTCCTGATTCACTGTCCAGCTTTCACATGCATATGAGGCAACTGAAAACACCATGGCACCTTAGTCCTCAAAATGACATCTCTTCTTTTTAACACTTTAAAGAGGTCTTTTGCAGCAGATTTGCCCACCACAATGCATAGTTTGATTTCGTGACTGCTGCTTCCATGGGTGTTGATTATGGATCCAAGTAAAATGAAATCCTTGACAACTTCAATCTTTTCTCCATTTATATAATGTTGCTTATTGGTCCAGTTGTGAGGATTTTTGTTTTCTTTATGTTGAGGTGTAATCCAGACTGAAGGCTGTGGTCTTTGATCTTCGTCAGTAAATGCTTCAAGTCCTCTTTACTTTCAGGAAGCAAGGTTGTGTCATCTGCATATCGCAGGTTGTTAATAGGTCTTCCTCCTGATGCCATATTCTTCTTCATATAGTCAGCTTCTCAGATTATTTGCTCAGCATGCAGATTGAATAAGTATGGTGAAAGAGTACAACCGTGATGCACACTTTTCCTGATTTTAAGCCACTCAGTATCCCCTTGTTCTGTTTGAACAACTGCCTCTTGGTCTATGTACAGGTTCCTCATGAGCACAATTAAGTGTTCTGGTATTCCCATTCTTTGCAATGTTATCCATAAATTTGTTATGATCCACACAATTGAAGGCCTTTGCACAGTCACTAAAACACAGGTAAACATCTTTCTGGTACGCTCTGCTTTCAGCTAAGGTCCATCTGACATTAGCAGTGATATCCCTTGTTCCGTGTCCTCTGGATCTGGCTTGAATTTCTGGCAGTTCCCTGTCGATGTACCATTGCAACTGTGTTTGAATGCTCTTCAGCAAAATTTTACTTGTGTGTGATATTAATGATATCGTCCATGCTATAAATCATAAAAATCATTAAAATGATTGTAATAAAACTAAATACAATTTTGTTGTTATTCATTGCTGTCGAGTTGGCTCTGACCCATGGCGATACCATGTACAACAGAACAAAACGTTTCCTAGTCCTGCACCATTTTCATGATCATTTGCATGGCTGAGTACAATGTTGCAGCCATTGTGTAATGCCTTCCTACTTATGAGGCTCATCTTCCAGCATAATACCAGACAATATTCTATTGTGATCTGTAGGATTTCTGTTGGCTAATTTTTGAAAGCAGATCACTAGGCTTTTCTTCCTATTCTATCTTAGTCTGGAAGGTCCACTGAAACCTATCTACCATGGATAACCCTGTTGATATTTGAAATACTGGTGACATAGCTTCCAGCATCGTAGCAACATGTTTAAGCCATCACAGTACAACAAACTGATAGATGGGTGGTGGGTATACCAGTTGTCACTGAGTCAGTTTCGACTCATAGTGACTCCATGTGTGTCAGAATAGAACTATGCTCCATAGGGTTTTCAATAACTGATTTTTTGGAAGTTAAAAAAAAAAAAGTACAAGGCCTTTCTTCCAAGTTGCCTCTGGGTAGACTCAAATCTCTAACCTTTTGGTTAGCAGACAAGTGAATTAAACATTTGTACCACCCAGGGATTCTATATACACTTTACCACATATAAATTAGACATAAAGAATATGTATCTGGTATATCTCTGAGGACTTCTCCTCAAAAAACTCATAATCACTTTAGCCGGTTTGATGAAAAGTCACAAATCTGGCTTAGTTAGAATCTACTTTTATGTGTCCTAAGCTATTCTTGTCCTTCATTACCTAGTCTGGAATGTTTACTTTCTACTTCAGGGGAACATAAGCCTCCTCCATGCACAACCCAATGTCATGTGGGTTGCTTACACCCAGCTCTTTTGAGGATTGCTATGGATTTTTAACTGAAAATGAATACAAGAAATAGGGAGTGAGGATTAGGTGAAACAGCTCCTTCCTTTTCTATTTTAACAGTCATTGTCTTTACTTAGACTTCCATTTCTACCCCCAGTAGTCCCAGAAGCTTATGTGTCCCCCACACTAAAAGGGAAATAAATTAGTTCATGAGTTTTGAAGACTGATGAAAAAGAGCACTCTGATACATTATATCTTACAGAGTTACATTTTATGCAACAAACTCAAGGAACAAATTCTCAGTGAAACATATGAGAAAATATTAGGCTGAAGGAATTTCCTGACTGAGGCTACTCCAAGATCCCAGTTTCTTTACAGGAAACATATTTGGATCCCAGTAATGGTCATCTGCCTGTTCAGGGTACTAGGCCAGGGAGGTCTTCAGTGGGTGCTTACCAAGTATAATACTATAATAGTTTTCTACTGCTGTGAAACAAATTACCTCAAAGGCAGCAGCTTAAAACAATGTATATTCACAGTTTCTGTGGGTCAGGAGTTCGGGCATGGCTTAACTGGTTCCTCTGCTCAGAGTTTCACAGGCTGCACTTAAGTTGTTAACTGGGCTGTGTTCTCGGCTGGAGGTTTGACTAGGGAAGACTCCACTTCAAAGCTTATTCACGCTGTTGGCAGAATTCATTTCCTTCTGGCTGTATGACTGCTGAGGATGGCTTTGTTTGCTGTACTCTGGAAGCCACCCTCAGGTCCTAGTGGCTTCCCGTACTTTTAGCAGCTACCTCTAGTTCTTTGCTGCATGGACTTTCTCAACATGAATGCTTACTTCGTCTGGCTAGCAAGGAGACTCTTCCTCCAGTGTGCTAAGACATTGTCTTAATATAATGAAACATAATCACAGAAGTGATAACCCATCACTTTTACCATAATCTATTGGTTATGCAAGTCACAAGTCCCACCCACACTCAAGGGGAGGGAATCACTTAACGGAAGGAGGTGCAAAATCATTGGGGGGAACCTAGAGTCTGCCCACCACACCAAGTTTCTTAAACCCTAACCACATGCTAAATCTCTGACACAATCACCTTTTATGACTATAAAAATTGTCTTTAGTGTTTCTCTTAGATCTGGGTTCTGGGTTTAAGTTTTTACTATGCTATTAACATCATCTTGCACATTTACATTCCAACAATATAACTCTGAGCCATCTGTACATAAGAACAAACTGAGCCAGGAAGACATTGGCTTCTACAATGTGTAAGGCTTGTCCATGGCCTACTACAAGCCAACTCTGCTTCTGAAAGCCAGCTGGAGGGAGATAAGGAATATTGAAAAGTCCTATCAGTTCATTGCATCTTGGTACCATAGGAATATACTTGAACCTTGGCTCCCCAGTGATAGTGCATTAAGTGGCTTAGGCCCTTGTGCAAGCTATGTTGATACTCCACACCTGAGCCCCAAGATTATAACTTTTTGTCACTTCATCTCCAATCACAACCAGGCCAGTTGTAGCCTTGCTTCTGTAGGGCTCCCATTGAGCCTAGATGCACCATATATTCTCCCTCTTCCATCCCAGTGAATTTCCTTTGGGGGCCCCAGAGGTCAACAGAATTTAGTCAGGGCTACCTCTCTCCATCTTTACGGTTTTACTTAATGTTCAATCTCAGGAAACAGTTGTCAAGATTTTGCCTTCTTCTTTTGCCAAATGTTCCTTACCCAAATTGGTGCACCAACTCCCAGGCTCTGATTATCAAAGGTTAGGTACAGCCCTGCTACATCTAACAAAAGTTTTGTTCAGAGTTAGAAGTAGCTTTGTGCCTCACATTTGCATAACTATGTAACTGCCCAACATAGATACGATCCACTGGAAGATGACTTTTTTACCTCTGCCTAAACAGAGAAGCAGCTGGCACTCTGCTCAGTAAAACAAATTAAAGCCCTGCCTCACCAGAGC